CTCTTCTGCTTCTGGAGACGCTGCGCGGCCGCGACCGTACTTCATACCGCTCCTTCAGCAGGTTCTTGGGCAGGCTCCTCCTCCTTGTCCTCCTCCCTCCGTAGAGTGTCCTCCGCCTGTCCAGCCGCAGTCACAGTTACCGCCTGCCTCGCCTCTCCCTGCTCCCTCTCCTTACACTGGTCCCACAGGAGGTCTTGCAGAGCGTCGTGAGCCTGAGTCTCGTCCTGCGTCGCCTGTTCGTCCTGCTCGCACTGGTAGTCGTGTCCGTCGTGAGCGTCCTCCTCCTGTCCCAGGCACTCACTACATGACTCTGCGTCCCTCTACTGCTCCTCGGCGTGTCCCTCTACCGTCTCCTCCTGCGTCCTCTTTGCCTGCCGTTCCGGACCCTGAGTCTGACCGGTATCGCGCTGAGCACCCTACAGTCACGCGTCTCCTAGCTACTGTTGTCACTGACCCTACCTTTGAGTCCTCGGCTGCGTCTGCTCTGGTCGCTGAGTTGGTTGACTTTGCTGCTGCCTGTCGTCTAGACTACGCTGCTAGCCTTGTTGCTGAGCCTGCGTCTGCGTCTGTCTGTCCTCCGTCTGTCGGGGGTGAGTGTGCTCTTGGCACGGACGTCCTTGAGGACAGGCAGGAGGACTTTGACTCTCTTGCGGCTGCTGTACCTCATCTCGTGGCCTGGTTGCTTGCCCCTGAGGGAGACCCGGATGCACTAGACATCCCCACTCCGCGCACTTACGCAGAGGCGATCTCGGGTCCCTACTCCTCTCAGTGGCACACAGCCATGGACGCAGAGATGGCATCCTGGAAGTCCATAGGCACCTACGTCGACGAGGTTCCCCCTCCTGGGGCGAACATCGTCGATGGCATGTGGATTTTCAGGGTGAAGCGGCCGCCAGGTTCTCCGCCTGTCTTCAAGGCTCGTTACGTTGCTAGAGGCTTCAGTCAGCGTCAGGGGGTCGACTTCTTCCAGACCTTCTCCCCCACCCCGAAGATGACCACTCTTCGGGTTCTGCTGCACGTTGCTGCTCAGCGTGACTACGAGCTTCACTCTCTTGACTTCAGCACAGCGTTCCTGCAGGGCAGCCTGCACGAGGAGATCTGGCTGCGCCGCCCACCTGGCTTTACTGGGTCGTTTCCCCCTGGTACCCAGTGGAGTCTCCGCCGGCCAGTCTACGGTCTCCGCCAGGCGCCACGTGAGTGGCACGACACACTGAGGACTACACTTGCGGCTCTTGGGTTCGCGCCGTCTACTGCTGACCCGTCGTTGTTTCTGCGCACAGACACGTCGCTGCCGCCGTTCTACATTCTCGTGTACGTCGACGACTTGGTCTTTGCTACTGCTGACACTGAGGCACTCGCTCGTGTGAAGTCGGAGCTGCAGAAGAGACACACCTGCACTGACCTGGGTGAACTGCGCAGCTACCTTGGCTTGCAGATCACCCGGGACAGAGCTCGCCGCACCATCACCCTGACTCAGTCACACATGGTGCAGCAGGTCCTTCAGCGCTTCGGCTTCCAGTTCTCCTCACCACAGGCCACACCTCTGGCTACCAGCCACTCGCTCTCAGCTCCACCTTTGGACGAGTCCGTAGAGCCGAGTGGCCCGTACCCAGAGCTTGTAGGCTGCCTCATGTACCTGATGACTTGCACGCGACCTGACCTCGCGTACCCTCTTAGCATCCTTGCTCGTTACGTTGCGCCTGGGAGACACAGGCGAGAGCACTGGGAGGCTGCTAAGAGGGTGCTGCATTACTTGTGCAGTACATCAGGCATGGGGCTGGTGCTTGGAGGACGAGACAGAGTTGTCCTCACTGGTCACTCGGACGCTTCTTGGGTGGACGACCTGGCTACGCAGCGGTCGTCACAGGGTTACACCTTCAGCCTTGGCTCTGGTTCTGTCTCGTGGCGGTCCACCCGCTCTTCCTCTGTTCTCGGCTCTAGTTGTGAGGCTGAGATCTACGCCACAGCCATGGCTGCACAGGAGTTACGCTGGCTCACCTACCTGCTGACTGACTTGGGAGAGCGGCCGCGTTCTCCTCCAGTTCTGTACGGTGACAACAAGGCGGCTCTTGCCTTGTGTCAGGAGCACAGACTGGAGCACAGGACGAAGCACATTGCTCTTCGCTACTTTCTTGCTCGAGAGCTTCAGCAGCGCGGTCAGCTTCGGCTTGTGTACGTGGACTCGAAGGCCAACACTGCTGATATCTTCACCAAGGCGCTCCCGCCTAGTGATCATCAGCGGCACTGTACTTCTTTAGGCCTTGTGTCCACGTTTCCTCACTTGCTCACTACTTGACATTCTTTGTACTGTACTTTATATATATCTTGTTGCTTGCTTGCTAGGTTTTGATCACTGTGTTGCTTGTCTTGTACTATATCTAGCACTGCATGTGAACTGGCCTTGTGGCCTTTACTTGTGCTCGGAGTGTGGTGACGTTGTGATCCACCCTGGGCTTTGCTTTGCTTTGCTGGACTGGTCTTGTGACCCTTTGTTCTCCCCCACTTTGCCTATGGGGGTGTGTTAAACTGTATTATGCTTGTAGGCTGTAGTGGGGTAGCCAATATGGGGTACAACCCCAACTAGGGTTTCATATTTGTACCCAAACTTCTGCTAGTTCATTCATTCTTGGCTAGTCATTTTAAGAGCTACGCCTGGCTGCAGCACATGGTGAGGCGCGGGAAGTTCAAGCAGCACATCTCGACCACCGAGCAGTCGGCGGACTTCCTGACGAAGGCGCTGCATTTTCCGGCTTTCAACCGGTGCTCTGTCGCCATCGGCCAAGTTCGTCTGGCCGACGTCGGCGACGGCGACGACGAGGTGCAGCAGTAGGTGCCGTGCCCTTCTGCACGGCTGGTGCGGTGACGGCGTGCTGTGTGTGGGGTGCACGTCGAGGAGGAGTTTTCTCCGTGGAGTACTGCCGTGTGGGCTGGAGGCCCAAGCGTGAGCGCGGCAGGGGAGTGTTAACGGGAATGGAGTGTTGGCCCCGCCCTCGCTTGGGCAACGCCGACGACTTGGTCGGATGTACGGGAGTAGCAGCCGACCGTTCACAGTGGGAGAGCTGCTCGACAGGCTACGTCGAGCTGCAGGGGACCGCTGTGGTGTTGCTGTCGACCAGGGAGCTCGACAGCTGCAACTGACTGGCCTGGGCGACGGGTGGGCCGTCCGGGAGGTCGACGGAGCAGTCTGTTGACCTACAGTTCGACGGGGAGTTCTGCGGAGCATCCCGTCGACCTGCAGCTCGACCGGGAGGTCCGCGGGGCATCCCGTCGACCTGCAGCTCGACCGGGAGGTCCGTTGGGCATCCCGTCGACCTGTAGCTCGACCGGGAGGTCCGCGGGGCATCCCGTCGACCTGCAGCTCGACCGGGAGGTCCGCGAAGCATCCCGTCGACCTGCAGCTCGACCGGGAGGTCGACGGAGCAGTTCTGGTCGACGGAAGGGGTCCGTCGACCAGGGGGTAGCTTGACGGTAGCTGTGGTCGACCAGGGGCACCTGGTGGTCGACCAGAGGGAGACACTGGTGGTCGACCGGGGCACCTGGTGGTGTCCCGGTCGACCAGGTAACCTGCTCGACGAGTTCTGCGGAGGCACGCGAACGTCGTCGAGGTCGCGATTGCTAAGGCGACTGCGGGCTGGTATCCCGAAGTCGATGTGGCTCGTCAGGCGCAGACAACAGCCGACGGATGCCCAACGAGGCAAGTCGGGCCAATCGTCTGCACGCACCTGCGAGCGTGCGCACTGCTGTCTTCTACGGGGCAACGCTGGACAGCCGCACAGCTGCAGCGTTGGCACGCCGTCGACCTGCAGTGTTGGCAGGTCGCTCTTTTGTAGTGCAGGCGCGACTCCTCTACGCAACGCTGGCAGGCGGTCGACCATGCAGTGCTGGCGGTCGACTAGGCTAGCTGCAGAGTTGCTAGGTGCCTGATGTAGTCATTTCTGTCATTGCTTGTTGATCCTTTCAGTAATTCCAACTTTGCTAGTGGAAACTCTTGCCGATTTCTCCCGTGAATGTGCAAGCACTAAGGAACTAAGCAAAGCTATATCACTCCTAGTAGTTCGTGCCAACCCCCGTAGTCTAGCTCACTACCGTTGTAGAGTGAATCTCCGCAGTTTCGACATTTCGCATTCTTGCTCGCTTTTGCACTCTTCATTTGCTACTGCTAGGAATTTTCAGTGTTTCTCTTTCACTATTCGTATCATATTGCAAGCACAGAATCGCAATCTGTTGCTTTTTGAAACACCTTATATTAAAATTGAACTGATATGCATCTATAGCAAGTACTAATACCAGTACAAAGATTTTCACAATCTTGATTGTTATTTTGCAGATGAATTTTGTTGTGTAATAAATGGAAGGGCTATAAAATATATTCATGAAATTATGTCGCACATGGTGGAAAAAGGTTGTAATCTGGAGAATGTATTTGATTTCACATTATATATTTTTTAACTACTACAATGTACTAATCACATATTTCAGAGATTTAAACACCCAACACAGAAGACTTGAACGAGACATGCAGCCAATGGGACGCCACCTCAAAGCTCCTGGCCTCCCTCTACCCATCGAACCTGCAAACCTAGCCCCTCAACTAGTGAGGTGATTTCCGAAGCTGACAGCCTAACTGCCCAACCAAATTTGATCGTTCCGAAGCTACGTGCTTTGATTTTGTTTCGTTGGGCCGAGCCGAAAGCTTCTTTTCCCGATCTATTCAACCTGGTACTGTACTAAGAGCGTGTTCGAAGTGAACATCGACATCCGTCGACATCCGATGTCGGTCTGATGGTTGGAACTCTCGATCCGAGGGTTGAAATTTACCGACATCCAGCGACATCCATTCGACCCTTCACTTCGGGCACGCTATAAGATACCTTGTGGAACCCTACTTGTCGGAAAATTCAGTAGATTCAGCAGCAGCCAAGACACAGGCTGTTTCGAGCCTGCGAAAAAGTATCGCGGAACTGTCCACAACGTAGGTGTTGAAGCCGACCATTTTTGGGATGGGGGCGGGGAAGCACGCGGTGACGCAGGAGGCGTTCGACGCGCTGGTGCGGGAGGGCATGGACGAGTTCGGCATGGCGCCGGACGAGGCGGTGGAAGACGCCGTCCGCACCCTCACCATGCAGGGCGCTGACCTCACAGGTGCGCCGCTGCTCCGCGCCTCCTCGCGGCTGCTATGGTGGGTGTGTTTTTGAGGGGGGAAGGAAGGGGGGGAAAGGGAGAGGGGGGAGAGGGGGAGGGGGGGGGGAGTATGGACAAGCGGGCAGCGAGTGAAGGGCGCGGCGATGGCGCCGTTCAAAGAAGTGCGCTCCCAGGGGCACTACTACGCGGCGTGCGCTGCTCCCCCTCCCACATCTCGGAAAACTCAAGCCAGAATGCTCCGCAAGCCCTTGCACTGTGTGGATAGCTTGGCAGGGGGAATGATCAAGACTCGACGAACCACTGGTTTCCCTTGAATGGTCCTCTTCGACCTCCCTCTCACGCGCTTTGGCAGCTTAGCAACGTTGGCAAGCGGGAAAGTGTTCAGCTATTCGCCATGCTCCCCAACCCCGTGTGCATGCCGCTCAACCCCGGTAGGCATCGTGCAGGCGTACAGTGCCACAGGGCAGCGCGCGGAGCAGCCGGCAGCAGCGGCGGCCACACAGCTTGCAGAGGCGCTGGCAGGCTGGAAGGCGAGGCAAGGAGGAGGCGAAGGTGAAGGTGCTTATAGCGGTGCTGACTTCCATGTGAGTGTTTGGTGGGGGGTGGAGGAGGTAGGCAGGGAAGTGGCTGGGTAGAGAACAGAAGGGTGCACAAGGGTAATTTAGAGATTGCACACCAAATGGCCACGTCCTGCTGTCAAAACACCCTCGTGCCCTCAATACTTCTGAGCAGGAAAAACCACAAACGGCTGCAAAACTTTCCCGTACCAGATCCACACTTGGGGTTTGTCGGAACGATTGTTTTGTTCTTTTCTTCTTTGAAAACTTTTTACCCGGCTCAGGTTCGGGTAGGCTAAAAACTGCGTTCATCGCCCGTAATTTATTGGCGGCTCACATGCCTTGCACTTCCGCAAGCAAGCACCTATCCTTCTTTTGGCATCTGCTAAATTCCGAAGATGGCCGGGGGGAGACCTGGCTACGCGGAACTCTCTAAACGGGTTCATTCAGGAGCGCCAGTGTGTGCAGAATAGGGCCAGTGTGTGTGCTGCATTGCATCTAAGGGTGATGGCAGCTTGCACCCACCACCTTACGCCGTGCCCCACGCCACCCTATCCCGTTGTTCCCCAGGCAGTGCTGCACGCGCTGTCCGCCCTCTCGCGCGCGCTCAGCCCCTCTGCGGACGGCTCTCAGGGCGGGCAGGCGCAGCAGGAAGGCGCGGCGAGGGAAGAAAGTGCATCAGCTGCAGAGGCAGCAACAGCAGAGGCAGCAGCAGCAAGGGGTGGATCAGGGTCAGGGGAAGCAGCGATCGTGGCGGGGCGAAACGAGGGATTACCGGCAGCTGTGAGCGCACTGGAGGTGGTTCTAGGGGCGATGGAGAGAGGGGAGAAGGGAGGCGAGGGGGAGGAGGGCGAGGAGGGGGGCGGGAGGGTGGAGAGGGCGCTGTGTGATGCGCTCACATGCACAGCGGCGCTGCTCTCGCATGGTGAGCCAGCGACGCCTGACCCATGCACCATGCTCGCTCATGCCATGGTCCCACCATGCTCGCTCATGCCATGGTCCCACCATGCTCGCTCATGCCATGGTCCCACCATGCTCGCTCATGCCATGCTCCCACCATGCTCGCTCATGCCATGGTCCCACCATGCTTCCACCGTACTCATACCATACTCACACTATTTTCACACCATACTCACACCCTGCTCCCACCATACTCACACCTTACTCACACCATGCTCTCTCACATCATACTCCCACCACGCGCACACCATGCTCCCACCACGCTCACACCATGCTCCCACCACGCTCACACCATGCTCACACCAAATTCCCATTGCTGCACACCCACTGCTGTATCTGCCTCAACTCACTCATCCTGCACTATTCTCCTTCTGAATGCCTTGCCTTCCCCTTCACCCCTCTCTGTCTCCCTTATCTCTCCCCTCCCCCCGTCCCCCCTCACTGCAGTCCCCGGGGCACGAGACCACTTCTTCCGCCTCTCTGGTCCGTCTCTCCTCGCCTCTGCCCTCCCTGTCCCGCCCTTCACCTCCTGCAGCCTCACACGTGTGGCAGCAGCTGCCAGCACGGCACAGGCAGCGAGCGCGGAGAACGAGGTCATCAAAGAGGCACTCATGGACGCCGCGCTCCACGTGAAGCTCCTCAACGCCATTCGCGCCATCGTGCAGTCCAAACCCGCTGCTGCTGACGTGGACAGCAGCGTCGCTGACGTGTCAGAAGCAGGGAGCGCGGTGTGTGCGTGCTGTGGGGCGCTGAGGGCGCTGGTGACGAATGATGACGTGCGCGTGGCGGCCTCCAAGACCTTCTCCAACGCTCGCACCGTGGCGGAGGCGGGCGCCGTGGATGTGCTGCTGGGCGCCGCTGCTGCCTTCTCCTCCGACCTCACCGTGCTGCCCTGCGTGCTGCGTGCTCTCAAGGCCATTGCTGTCAACGTGAGTGCCTCTCACCCATGCCCGTGTCACCTTCTCAGCATGCCTGCTCGCGTGCTGCTGCTGCTGCGTCTGCCTCCAATGTGCATAACAGGGATGATAATGATCCTCTCCACCACCGGCACCGCCACCGCCACCACCACCGTTGCCGTCTGTTCCCCCCTCCCACGCGCCCCCATGTCCCCACAGGAGGACATCTGTCGCAGCATAGCCTCTCTCGCCGGGGTGCCCCTCGTGCTCGCCCACCTGCGCGCTGCCCTCGCCTCGCACTGCTCTGCCCTCGCTGCTCCCTCCGCCGCACTGCTGGCGCAGGTGAGTGCTGGCGCAGGTGAGTGCTGGCGCAGGTGTTATGCCAATAGCTAGCCATCTAAAGTGGTAACACTAATCGTAAATGCTGCGATTAGGAGTACGTTGCACTACCTCTAGCAAGCAACCCGGGGGTTTATGCTTGTCAGAGAAGGTGTGAGGCAGAGCCTAGGTGGTTCTGTCCTCTGCAAACCTCCCTCCCCGTGCTTCTCTCACCACCTGTCCCAATCCTCCTCTTCTCTGGCTCCTCCTCTACTCCGGGCTGCTCCTCTCTCATCACCAGCTGGCAGGCAGTGACGCCAACAAGGTGCTCATCGTGGAGACAGGTTGCATTCCCGTATTGGTGGAAGCTGTCAAGGCATTCGTGGACGATGGGGCTGTGCTTCAAGAGGTATGGGGCTGTGCTTCAAGAGGTATGGGGCTGTGCTTCAAGAGGTATGGGGCTGTGCTTCAAGAGGTATGGGGCGTAGCTGCTGGTTTACTGCCATCTAAGTGTGGGACAGATGAAGCGAGTTGAAGATACTGGGTACTAAAACGATTGGACGGAAATGGTTGTGTGTTGGCAAGGAGTGACATTGTGGGATTCCCAAGCAGCTGCGCTGTTCCATCTCCTCGCCCACCATGCACCCTCGCCCATCATGCACCCTCGCCCATCATGCACCCTCGCCTCGCAGCATCCCTCCTCACTCCTGTGCACTGCTCTCATGCCCTCGCGTGCTCTCATGCCCTCGCGTGCTCTGATGCCCTTCGTGCGTGGCGCCACCATACCAACAACCTTGTTTGCAGCATCACTCACGTCCTCCTCTTCTCTCCCCTCGCCCCCTCTCCTTCGCGCAGCTGCTGGCATGTCTGGCAGCCGTGACGCTGCGCAGCCCGGCGCATGCAGCAGCAGTGGTGGGGGCGGGCGGGTTGGAGGCGGCAGTGGAGGCCATGGAAGGGCGGGGCGCCACGGCGGGCAGCCAGTGGCAGGCGTGCCAGCTGCTGCGCAACCTCGCTGTGCGCAACCCTGAACACCGGTGCGCACCTCCCCTGCGCCCGCTGCTGCCCCATCTGCTGCCCCCTCTGCTGCCCCCTCTGCTGCCCCCTCTGCTGCCCCCTCCGCTGCCCCCTCTGCTGCCCCCTCTGCTGCCCCCTCCGCTGCCCCCTCTGCTGCCCCCTCTGCTGCACCCTCCGCTGCCCCCTCTGCTGCTTGCTGAACTGCTCTCCCTTGTGCCTTGCTGCCCCCCTGCTTGTATGCTTCTGCGTGTCTCGTCTCCCCTGCTTCAGTGAGTCAACTGCTGCTGAGCATGCCGTGATGCGCATGTAGTCTTCACAGTAAACACGTCCTCGTCCCCCCTTTCCCCCATGGGCCAGGCCAATAATGGTGGAGATGGGATTGGAGGCTGTGATTCGCAACGTCAGGAGCAAACACAAGTCGTGCCATGACGTGTGCTCTGCTGCACTAAGAGACATGGGCCTGGATAACTATAATCAATAGTGCTGGTGGAGAATCATTGGTACCAGGGCTCTTGCTAGGATTCAGGCCTGTCTGAAGTCCCCCCCCAAAAAAATCGTTTCGTCTGACGTTCAGACGGGCAAAAAAAAACTCTGATTTTTCAGACGAAAGTTGGAGCTTAGTCTGATTCATTAGACAAAATGCTTTCCATGGTCTGATTATTGTACACTAGTCAGCCATAAAAACGGTATGATTCAGTCTTTACGAAGTACGAAACGAATGCATGACGTTGACAACCTGGTAGCAGACAATCATAGAAAGTTGGGCACCTTTGGGGACTGGGGGGGGAGTTGGGCTGCGATGGACATGCATGGGTCCGTGCCTTACGCGACGGACCAGGGGGGTGGAGGGACTTGAGGGGAAGGGGGCTGGGCTGGGAAAGGTGTAGGGGAGCTAGGCGGGGGAAGGGTGGATGGGCTGGGGTTGCTTGCGCTGCGAGAGGCTGGGCTGGTAGAGGGGTGACTTGGTGGTGAGGTTGGGTTAGGAGTGTTGGAAACAGTAACTTAAGCGCTTCTGATGTGTCAAATCACTGAATCGTAACGAAGCAAACAACAGCGCAGCGACGCTGAGTCAACCATCGGAGGTTGACAAGGAAAGGTAACCGCTGGAGGTTACGCGAAGGTCAAAGGTCACGCGACCTTTGACTCGACAACTTCAGTACGACAGTAAGGACAAACAGCTGACTCGTTACTGAGCAGTTGCCCGAGTCGTCACTGTATCGAATCGCAACAGCAACAGTAAAACGGTTATTAAGTCGTATCATTTCATATTCTTTGTAATCTTATAAAAGGTTGTTCTTTTCTATAATCAATCTACTTTGCCCTCACATACTAGCGCAAGGTGGTTCAACACTTATCATTATACGCTTCTGCTTCTATATTGTTCCTACCCAGTGTTTATCCTTTGCAAAGATCCTAAGAGCTTTTCTCAGCCCAACATGGTATCAGAGCTATCAAGCAGGGCCTCAGATTCGTTTTGGGTGACCCTTGTCAAACATATATAACATTGATTATATAGGCTGTAGTGGGTTAGACTCTAGAGAGTATAGGGTTGTTACTTGTTTCTCTCATTTTCCTTAGTGCATCATCCTCTCGAACTTCACATGGTATAGAGCATGGTTTCCTACCAAGGGCCCACCTTCTGATTTTTTTTAACTGCCCGAGGCGCGTTTTGCGCCCTGCCCGGAAATTTCGCGGCCCCCTTAGAGGCCTGCCCCGTTAAGGCCCGTCGCGGCCCCCTCTTAGGCCCTTCGCGGCCCCTCTTAAAGGCCCCTTTGCGGCCCCCTCTTAGGCCCTTCGCGGCCCCTCTTAAAGGCCCCTTCGCGGCCCCCTCTTAGGCCCTTCGCGGCCCCTCTTAAGGCCCCCCTTCGCGGCCCCCTCTTAGGCCATTCGCGGCCCCCTCTTAGGCCCCTTAGCGCCCCCCCCCCTTAGCGACCCCGTCGCGACCCCCTCGCCACTCCGTCGCGGCCCCGTCGCGATCCCGTCGCGACCCCGTCGCGGCCCCGTCGCGACCCCGTCGCGATCCCGTCGCGACCCCGTCGCGGCCCCGTCGCGACCCCGTCGCGACCCCCTCGCGACCCCGTCGCGGCCCCGTCGCGACCCCGTCGCGAACCCGTCGCGGCTCCTTCGCGACCCCGTCGCGACCTCGGCGCGGCCCCTTCGCGACCCCGTCGCAGCTCCTCCGCGGCCTCGTCGCGCCCCCCCCCTTCTCGGCCCTTCGTGGCCCCCCTCTTTGCGGCCCCTTCGCGGCCTCCTCACGGCCCCTTGCCCCCCCCCCCCCCCCCTTCGCGGCCCCCTGCAGCAGCCGCCCCTGGCCCCTGGAGCAGCCGCCCCTGCAGCAGCCGCCCCTGGCCCCTGGAGCAGCCGCCCCTGCAGCAGCCGCCCCTGGCCCCTGGAGCAGCCGCCCCTGCAGCAGCCGCCCCTGGCCCCTGGAGCAGCTGCCCCTGCAGCAGCCGCCCCTGGCCCCTGGAGCAGCCGCCCCTGCAGCAGCCGCCCCTGGCCCCTGGAGCAGCCGCCCCTGGCCCCTGGAGCAGCCGCCCCTGCAGCAGCCGCCCCTGGCCCCTGGAGCAGCCGCCCCTGGCCCCTGGAGCAGCCGCCCCTGCAGCAGCCGCCCCTGGCCCCTGGAGCAGCCGCCCCTGCAGCAGCCGCCCCTGGCCCCTGGAGCAGCCGCCCCTGCAGCAGCCGCCCCTGGCCCCTGGAGCAGCCGCCCCTGGCCCCTGGAGCAGCCGCCCCTGCAGCAGCCGCCCCTGGCCCCTGGAGCAGCCGCCCCTGCAGCAGCCGCCCCTGGCCCCTGGAGCAGCCGCCCCTGCAGCAGCCGCCCCTGGCCCCTGGAGCAGCCGCCCCTGCAGCAGCCGCCCCTGGCCCCTGGAGCAGCCGCCCCTGCAGCAGCCGCCCCTGGCCCCTGGAGCAGCCGCCCCTGCAGCAGCCGCCCCTGGCCCCTGGAGCAGCCGCCCCTGCAGCAGCCGCCCCTGGCCCCTGGAGCAGCCGCCCCTGCAGCAGCTGCCCCTGGCCCCTGGAGCAGCCGCCCCTGCAGCAGCCGCCCCTGGTTTTTGGAGCAGCCGCCTCTGGAGCAGCTGCCCCCCCCCCCCCCCCCCCCCCCCCCCCCCTGCAGCTGCCGCGGAGTCCTTCGCCCTGCAGTGGTGCCGGCGTTGCCGTTGCCGCCGTCGTACGCCTGCCCTTCTTGCCACTGGTGAGCACTGTCCTGCCTGTACTGCTGTTACCGCTGCTCCTGCTGCTACTGCTCTTTCTACTACTACTGCTGCTAGTACTGCTACTGCTGCTCCTGCTGCTACTGCTGCTCGTGTTGCTCCTACTGCTCCTGCGCTTTCTACTGCTACTGCTGCTCCTGGCGTGGCCAGATGCAGCTCCAGCGCCGTCCGCGTGAGTCCCTCACGCCCCCACAGCTTCATGAGTGGTACGCTCGTTGGGGTTGTCGGGGTGGCCGTAGTGGGAGTCGTTCTGGCGTGAGTAGTGTCGGGGCTTCTTGTAGTGGCCAGGTGCAGCTGCAGCGTCGTGTGCGCGCGGTCCCTTCGCCCTCGCAGCTTCATGAGTGGTACTTTCAGCGGGGGGGGTCACGGGGTTCTGCTCGCTGCCCGTACGTCATTCGCACTGGTGCTCGGACTGGCCAGCCTTGCGGGACGTTTGGTCACACAGAGTCCCGCTGCTTCGCCAGTCTGAGCGACGCCTGGCGTACAGAGTTTGGCGACGCGGCTGAGCTCCCCGACTGGGTGGAGCTGCTCCGGCAGAGGGTAGATATCTATGCTCTTGACTATGATGCTATCCTCACTGCCATGTATGCATTGTCTACTAGTGATGCCGGTGACTGTTCCCTGAGTGTTCCGCCCGACCCAAGCGGTGCAGCTGCTGCTCTAGGTGCTAGTGAGTCTGCTGCTCCAGGTGCTAGTGAGTCTGCTGCTCCAGGTGCTGGTGAGTCTGCTCTCTCAGGTACCACGTCTGCTCCGGCGTCGCACACTTTCACCCTTGACTCGGGTGCTTCCCGCTCCTTCTTTCGAGACCGCACCACTCTCACGCCGCTCAGTCGGCCGGTTGCAGTCTCCCTGGCAGACCCCTCTGGGGGTCCTGTTCTTGCCCACTACTCCACTGTACTACCGTGTCCGGCGGTCCCGTCTGGCTCCCTGTCCGGTCTTTACCTCCCCTCGTTCTCTACGAACTTGGTGGCAGGTGCTGACCTACAGGATGGGGGGGTTGACCAGTTCACCCCTGCACGTCAGCGGGTGACCCACTGCACGTGTGCGGACACGGGCCGACACTTGGCCACGTTTACCCGTCGGCCGGGGTCGAGCCTGTACACCCTGACTACCGAGTCTCCTCCGGTTGCTGTGCCTGGTCAGGTAGCTGCGTCGGGTCAGGTGTTTGCTGCAGCGTCTCGGTCTGGTCCTGAGTCTGCCCCCTGCTCGTGTCGCCTCCTGTCCCACGAGACTCTTCTCTGGCACCACCGTCTTGGTCACCCCTCCCTGCCTCGTCTCCGAGGCATGGCCTCTCGTGTCCTGGTCTCTGGTCTCCCCCGGTCGCTCCCTCCCCTCCCTCCGGGGCCTGCCCCTACCTGCGTCCCCTGCGTCGAGGGGCGGCAGCGCGCCGCTCCTCACTCCTCCGAGTTTCCGCCGACAGAGGCTCCGCTGCAGACTCTTCACATGGACGTGTGGGGCCCAGCCCGCGTCCGTGGACAGGGTCACGAGCGCTACTTCCTGCTGGTGGTTGACGACTACTCGCGTTACACCATACTCTTCCCCTTGCGCCGCAAGGATGAGGTCACTGAGGTGTTGATCGACTGGATCCGCGCGGCTCGTCTCCAGCTCAGGAAGAGTTTCGGCTCGGACTTTCCTGTTCTGCGTCTGCACTCTGACAGAGGTGGAGAGTTTTCCTCCGGCCCTCTGCGAGCCTTCTGTCGTGCGAGGGGCATCCGCCAGACGTTCACGCTTCCGGCCTCTCCGCAACAAAATGGGATTGCTGAGCGCCGCATTGGCATGGTCATGGATGTCGCTCGCACGTCCATGATCCATGCGGCTGCTCCCCATTTTCTGTGGCCGTTTGCGGTTCAGTACGCGGCGCGTCAGATCAACCTTCAGCCCCGGGTCTCCATGCCGGACACCTCCCCCACTCTGAGGTGGACGGGGCAGGTTGGCGATGCGTCTGCGTTTCGTGTCTGGGGATCTCGGGCTTTTGTCCGAGACTTGTCTACGGACAAGCTGTCCTCCCGTGCTGTTCCCTGCGTCTTCCTTGGCTTCCCCCCTGACGCGCCTGGTTGGCAGTTTTACCACCCCACCTCGCGCCGTGTTCTGTCCTCCCAGGACGTCACGTTTGACGAGTCGGTTCCGTACTACCGTCTCTTCCCCTACCGCGCTGCCCCTCTTCCCCCCCCGCCGCTCTTCCTTACGCCAGGTCCCCCCCCGGTAGACCCCCTCCCCCCTCAGGGTCCTGCTCCTTCAGGTGTGTCTCAAGTAGACCCCCCCCCCTTGGCTGAGC